CTGGGGGTGCACCCAGCACACGGGGTGGGGGGTCTGGGCTCTGTGCACACTGAAGCCAGGTCATGGGGAGCTTTTGAAGCAAAGACTCAATTGCTTTGTCTGTCACATGGGCACCTTTGAGAGTCCTGGTTTATACAGTGTCCACAGAACAGGTCTGCTTTCATCCCGTAATTTACATTCCCTGAGGCGCTGGATCCAACCTGCCATTAGTACTACAAGAGCAGCTAATTTCAGGTGTAATTTGTTGCAGCGCTTTGTGATGTGCCTGTCAACAAACTGCAGCAGAAATTAGCCTTATGATATATAAAGAGAAGCTGAGTCTCACTGCTTGTGGGGAGGAATGATGTGATTCATGTTCTGGAAATGTGTTACTGGGAAAACCAGGGATATTTTTTACTTCCTCTGTTCAGGTGTTATTCTCTGGGCATGTGGAGCTGTGGCAGGAAGATACCAGCTTATACAAAAGGAATAAACCTCTCCAAGTTGAAGTACTTCATAGAATCATAGAATGGTTTGGGTTGAAGGGACCTTAAAGCTCCTCCAGCTCCAACCCCTGCCCCGGGCAGGGACACCTTCCACTAGAGCAGGTTGCTCCAAGCCCCTGTGTCCAACCTGCCCTTGAACACTGCCAGGGATGGGGCAGCCACAGCTTCTCTGGGCACCCTGTGCCAGCGCCTCAGCACCCTCCCAGGGAAGAGCTTCTGCCCAAGAGCTCATCTCAGTCTCCCCTCTGGCAGGTTCAAGCCATTCCCCTGGGCCTGTCCCTGCAGGCCCTTGTCAAAGATGTGAACACAGCAATGCTCTGGAAAGGGTTAAGTAGGGAATGGGTTAAATCCTGCCTCCAAATTTTCATGTTAGAGGGTTGGGGTCTCCAGAGGCTGCATCCTCAGCACTGTTACGTTCAGGGTAGGCAGCTTCCATTAGCTCATCTCATAGAACAGGAGCCACTTGCAGCCAGAGCTCCTTCCACAACCTCGGTGACAAGTGCCATGATTCAATTGGGCTTTGAGCAAAAAAGATCACTCCTGATTGCCTTAAAGCCCACAGTAAGGTAACATTTGCCTGTTCTCTCTAACACTAATGTCTGTATACACCCCTGCACATTTCCCTTGCCTGGTCCATGTAGTTTTCAAGCTGAGATTCCTACCCTATGGATTGTCCCCTTGCCTGGAAGCCATCCCAGCGCGGATCATGCGCTCCCTCTGTACCATTTCTGGTTCTTTCTGGAGATGGAGAGAGCTGCCCACAGCTTGGATCATTTCCCTTCTCCAGTTTCAATAGGTAGGATGTGCAGTTAGCAACAACAAATTTCATTGCCATTATAGATGTGGTGTTTCAATGCAGACAGACTTTGGTGCAGCATGTTACAGCTGGTTTAGTTGGACTGTCCTCAGTAATTCCAGGTGATTAGCAAATACTGTCACCCAACTGGTTACACCCCTTGCAACTGATCCGTAAACCTGGTAAACAGCAGGAACTCCCTGGTAACCTGTTCTCTACTGTGAGACCAGAAAGTTTGTAAGTGGACTCTCTTAACTGTAATAAAGGAAGCAGAACATGGGGAAATCCTCAAGCGAGTTGTGGTTAATTTATTGTGGGAGATGAAGAGTTTTGGCAGTGGGAGTGAGGCCAGGGGAGGCCCTGGAGCTGCTGCGAGGGCTGGAGCAGCTCTGCTCTGGAGCCAGGCTGAGAGAGCTGGGCTGGGGCAGCTGGAGAAGAGAAGGCTCCTGAAGGGGACACCTTAGAGCAGCTCCAGGGCCTAAAGGGGCTCCAGGAAACCTGGAGAGGGGCTTTGGACAAGGGATGGAGGGACAGGCCAAGGGGAATGGCTTGAACCTGTCAGAGGGGAGATTGAGATGAGCTCTTGAGCAGAAGCTCTTCCCTGGGAGGGTGCTGAGGTGCTGGCACAGGGTGCCCAGAGAAGCTGTGGCTGCCCCATCCCTGGCAGTGTTCAAGGCCAGGTTGGACACAGGGGCTTGGAGCAACTTGCTCTAGTGGAAGGTGTCCCTGCCCGGGGCAGGGGTTGGAACTGGAGGAGCTTTAAGGTCCCTTCAACCCAACCCACTCTGTGACTCGGGAAGGTGCAGCTGTGCCCTCTCCTTGTATCCCCATTGCTAACAAAAGGCTCTGCAATCAGAATTTTCCTGATGACTCAGTTGCTGCAGAAGCTGTGTCTCAGGCTCACAGTCACTCAGTGAGGCTAAAAGAGTCGTGCTTAATTTTGGCAGTAACATAATTAGGCTACATTGGAGCCCAGGATACAGGATGAGTAACAGAGCACCATTTTAACAGCCTTTTTGCACTTCATCTCTTCTGGGGGAGGCAATCAGCAAAGAATATTGAAATCAAGCCTTGGCGTGGGGGTGAAAGACCTTCACAGAGGAACAATCTCTGTTGAAGGAAGTTTCTCCTGAATTCTTGGCTTCCTAAAGAAGTAGAAAAGAACAGACAAAGCTTTTCAGTTTTGTAGAAGCAAAACTCCTGTTTCCCCTGATATTTCTAGAATATGAAACATAAACCAACCACCCCCCGAATGGTCCAAATTCACTTCTGTGGGTTTCCAGGCTTCACTGCTGTTCTTGTCAAATTCCAGTTAAATAAGATGTCACACACCTACATAAGTGCAGAAAACATTAATCCCTCTTAGTGCCTCAGACTAATCTCATTCTCAGATTAAAGGAATAATATCAAATTCCAACCTTAGCCCTTCAAAGAATGCTGTAGATCAGGAGGAACAGCCTTGGCAGTGTTCACGGCCAGGTTGGACACAGGGGCTTGGAGCAACCTGCTCTAGTGGAAGGTGTCCCTGCCCGGGGCAGGGGTTGGAGCTGGAGAAGCTTTAAGGTCCCTTCATCCCAAACTATTCCATGATTCTGTATTTTCTGATTCACGGGCAGTTGTCTGTGTGGCTCTAAGAACATAGAATCACAGAATCAACCAGGTTGGAAAAGCCCTTTAAGCTCATCCAGTCCAACCATTCCCAGCACTGCCAAGGCCACCACTAACCCCTGGCACTGAGGCCTCGGCTCCACGGGCTGTGAACACTTGCAGGGACGGTGCCTCCAGCCCTGCCCTGGGCAGCCTGTTCCAATGCCTGAGCACCCTCTGGGCAAGGAATTGTTCCTCAGCTCCAGCTAAACCTGCCCTGGGGCAGCTTGAGGCCGCTTCCTCTTGTCCCATCCCTTGTTCCTTGGGAGCAGAGACCAGCCCCCTCCTGGCTCCATCCTCCTGTCAGGCACTTGCAGAGAGCGATCAGGTCCCCCCTGAGCCTTCTCTTCACACTAAACCCCCAGGTCCCTCAGCCCTTCCCCATCACACTTGTGCTCCAGGCCCTGCTCCAGCTCCAGGCCCTGCTCTGGACCCATTGGTCTTCTTTTTGTGATGCTGTTCTCATTGTCTTTATAGTTAAAGGGTAGATATGGCAACGTATCATAAGTTAATTTAATCTTGTTCTTTTCCCTCACAATCCTGATGTTGCCCTGCAAAAAGTATTTAAATATAAATCTGCTTGCAAACATGTTAAAGTTCTAGCCATTGGATTAAATTCCATGAAAACTGAGCTGTGATTAGAACATGCTGCTGCTAACTTCAGCCTGGTGGCTTTTATATATTCTGCTCCCAGCAGCATTCCTAAATTTCTTCTATATAGCACACTGCTCAGTTCTCTCCATGGTGGTTCTGCAGCCACCCAGCCTTCGGAACAGGTTGACTCTCAATTTGAGCGATACTTATAAAACTAAGAGAGGATTTCTAGGAAGGCTGTAATCTTACAAGTAGTACATGGAGGATAATAGTAATCATTAGCAAGTAGCTGACACTCTGCTTTTCAGTGCTGTGGTGTCAGGGTGACTTCTGAGAGGGACATACCCTTTTTTGCTTTAATTATGATTTATGGGCTAAGTCATAATTTTAGGATGGTTTCCTGAGTTCCTGAGCACTCCCAGTCATGTCAGCAGCAGGCTTGCTTTAAGCCTAGAGCAAGACCATTAAATAGAAGGGTGTTCTCTATATCTCAGCCTGGAGAAGATAAGGCTTCTTAAGGGGAGACCTTAGAGCAGCTCCAGTGCCTAAAGGGGCTCCAGGAAACCTGGAGAGGGGCTTTGGACAAGGGATGTAGGGGCCAGCCAAGGGGAATGGCTTGAACCTGCCAGAGGGGAGATTGAGATGAGCTCTGAGGCAGAAGCTCTTCCCTGTGAGGGTGCTGAGGCGCTGGCACAGGGTGCCCAGAGAAGCTGTGGCTGCCCCGTCCCTGGCAGTGTTCAAGGCCAGGTTGGACACAGGGGCTTGGAGCAACCTGCTCTAGTGGAAGGTGTCCCTGCCCGGGGCAGGGGTTGGAGCTGGAGGAGCTTTAAGGTCCCTTCCAACACAAGCCATTCAATGATTCTATGGCTTAATGACTTGTGACTAACTTTTGAAGCACCTGATCTGTGGGTCACTGCAGATGGGGATTGTACTGGGAGAACACCACTGTGTGCCCCCTTCTTTTTCTTATTCCTTGGTCAAGGTCTGTGTAGTCTAAATCACTATTGTCCAGTCTTCCTTGGTATTACTTTATGTGGAAAATACTCTTTTCTCTGTGTCTTCACTAGTTCTCCTGTGCATCTTTGTGGTCTCAGTAGGAGCAGCAATTAGAGGGGGAAAAGAAAGGGAGGATTCCCTTACCAACCATAAAATAGCTGATATTGGAGTTGTATGGGATGTTCACTAACATATTATTTGCTTCCAGTCCTAAACTGGTGTGTAACTCGGGTGTGTTCTCTTCAGTGGATTTAATGACACTTGTATTTAAATAAAAGATACCAAAAATACCTCTTTCTTAATGATGTTTTTTCTTTTGCAGCCCTGGAAGGAAACGTGACTTTTCGCCAGTGCTTTGGAGCCAGTACTTTGAGTCTATGGAGGATGTCGTGGTAGAAAATGAGACTGGCAAGGATATATCCTTTGTTCTAGATGGAATTGTTCTTACTCCCAGTGACTGGAGCAGTATTATGTGTCATTTAGTTTATTTGGGTTCTTTTCAACTTTTTCATGTACTACTTCTCATCTTTCATTGCTTCTTTTGCAGGCATCAGTATCACTAACTGGAGCTTTGCCTTCTAAACTGACAGTGAAGATGTTGTGGCTGCCCCATCCCTGGCAGTGTTTAAGGCCAGGCTGGACACAGGGGCTTGGAGCAACCTGCTCTAGTGGAAGGTGTCCCTGCCCGGGGCAGGGGCTGGAGCTGGAGGAGCTTTAAGGTCCCTTCAACCCAAAGCTTTCTATGATGATTCTATGGGAACCACTCATGCTGCTCCACTAATGCAAATGGCACAGAGGAAGCTCCATGTGAGGTCACATACACACACCTGAGCTGTGGGTCCCAGCTTCTTGCACCCCAAGGTGTCAGTCCACTGGCTCTTGTGCAGACAGGGACACTTCTCACTCTGGCCAAGGCAGAGGCAGTGATGTCACCAGCGTTTTTTGTAGCATCAAACCAGGTTTCACTGCAGCTGTTTCATCTCCAAGGTCTCTTTGCAAATATTCATATTTCTTCTATACTTCTTTTCAAGCTGCCTTTTCTTTGCCTGTCTTCAGTTGTAGTTTGAGGTGCTCAAACTGCTGTTGTATCCATCCTATTTGCTACCTGGGAGCTCCTTAATAAGTCTGTTGTGTGCAGGTGCTGGGACAAGGCTTCCCATCAGTCTTAACTCTGCCTACAGCTCTGGCAAAAGCAGGTTTGAGAGGTACTTCCAGGTCTTTTGACCTAATTACAACATGAAACCATTGTAATCTGTGTTTAAATAACACAGTCTTGTAGTTTAAATAGTTACGTCCTATTTAAGCATGCATATTCTAGCTTGGCCATTAGGAAAAGCAAACTTCCAAGCTTTTTTCTCCAAATACCAATTTAGTAACTACTTCTCTAATGCCAGCAGCACGTTTGAAATGAGACAATTCTCTCTCCATGTTGTTTTGCTCAGCTTGTCATTATTTTTTGTTAACAAAAGGCATTTTTCCAGTTAATCCCATTAATTCTCCATGTTCTGCACCTTGTCTGCTTTTGATGTAAGGGCTGTGCACACCCTTGAGGCTTCACAAGTAGTAAAATATAAAGGATAATGGACCTATTTGAATAGATGATGTCCATAAGCATCCCAAATTTAAGCAAATCTTTGTTGTTTGGAGTTTCTTGTGCTACCTATAAGCTTTTACAGAAGCCTGAGCTCCTGTATGAAAGGTTGTGGATAGATGTGTACTGAATTCATGAATGGAGCTGGTGTCTACACATATGCTCCAGGTACCTACTTCTACTCCATGAGATCTCATATGGACAAGCCCTAGGTGAAGAAACTGCTTAAGCTGGCACAATTTAACTGAAATGCCATAGGGAGCACCTGCATGAGCTGTTTGCCAACAGCAGATCCAAAGGGAACAGCAGAAAACCAGTGAACAGCCTCATCAGGAACTGCAGCATGGTTCATCAGAATGCTGTTATCCATCCCAAGAACAGGAGAGCAGTGGAAGGTGAGGTGACTTGTCTGTTGTGCTGGTCACAGTTTTGGGCACTGAACACACATCTCACGACTTCATCATTTTAACAAAAGGAGTTTTAATTGTGTTCAATTGTGACCGTGCTGTGAGAGACTGAAATGAAGCTGGTCCTTATTCTTCCAGATACGGGTGTGCTTGTTCTGGAGGCAATAACCAAACTTCACCATCTTGACACGGGTGGTTTCTGGGCTCAAGCACACACTGAAGCCGGGTCATGGGGAGCTTCTCCTCACCCAACACCCCAAATCCTTCTCCTCAGGCGGCTCCATCCAGTCCCCCAGCCTGTGTTTGTGCTGGGATTGCCCCAACCCAGTTCAACTCACTGTTGTGCACAGGGGGAAAAAGATGCTGGCAGGAGATTATAGAATCATAGAATGGTTTGGGTTGGAAGAGACCTTAAAAATCATCCAGTGAAGATTACGTGGAGGAGGAGACCTGGCCAGCAGGAAAACAACTCTCGAAGCTTAAATCAAGTTACATTTTGTCCAGGTTATGCTTGCACATGCTTGTTGATCAGAGGAGAAATCATAGAACCATAGAATGAACTGGGTTGGAAAAGCCCTTTAAGCTCATCCAGTCCAACCATTCCCAGCCCTGCCAAGGCCACCACTAACCCCTGGCACTGAGGCCTCGGCTCCACGGGCTGTGAACACTTGCAGGGCCGGTGACTCCAGCCCTGCCCTGGGCAGCCTGTTCCAATGCCTGAGCACCCTCTGGGCAAGGAATTGTTCCTCAGCTCCAGCTAAACCTGCCCTGGGGCAGCTTGAGGCCGGTTCCTCTTGTCCTGTCAGGCCTTGGGTGGGAACAAAGCCCACTGGGGAACTGGGGGCTCTAAAATACTTCAGCAAAGTATCTTCACGTAAGTCTGTGCATGTCCTTAACTGTTCATACACTTTTCGAATTTACAAGAGTGGAGTGGAGGGGCCTGTCCTGCTGCTGTTACACGGTGGAGGCCATTCTGCTCTTTCCTGGGCTGTATTTACTGTAAGTAACCTGCTGCTTTATGCAAGTATGTGTATGTATGTGACTGTAGTCATGGGAGTGTGGAAGGCAACTCACCTCTCAGCTATGTTAAGCACAGGAAAATCAGTTCAGAAGCTGTTTTATGATCTGGTTTGCACCTGACTTAAGTCTTCAGCATAGCTCCTTGTGAAGTGCCAAGCTATTTCTCTTCATACCATACCCATTGATTTTCCAGAAGGCTGCTTTTTCATGACTACCAGTGAAATTCCACCAGCTTTATCTCATCATAATATTATCTTAGTGTGGTTGAGGCCCTGTTTGGTTTGTCAAGGAACCTCCTCTGCTGCTCAAACAACTCTGAGGTGGTATCAATAGGAGTGAGCACAGGGTCTGACCAAACCAACATCCCTCCCTCCCACTCATTCTCTTTGAAAAATGAAGGGAGTTAAGGAAGAAAACCTCTAAAGGATGTCAAGTAAAGTAAAATCACTGCAGGGAGTGATTTTTATTTTGGAACTTTTTAATCCAGGGACTCTTTGAGCTCTCTACTGCCCTTAACAGCAGGATGCTCTAGGATGACTCTCATGGAAGAATGGCTGAGGTCTCTACATCTACCCCATGCTTTTGACTGGGTCAGATTTGTTCCCTTTGGCCGTTGGGCTGGAGATGACTTAGCCTTTAAGCACAGATTCAAATAAGAAACAAGAATGAACATTTCATAAGAGTCAGTAGCAACTGCTCTTGAATTCCCCTCATGATTCCTGTTGAGTAATGCTGGTGTAATCGTAACCTACCTTATAATATAAAGAGACACAGTGGAAAAATACTTTGCCAACTGGGTTGTAATTTTGGTCTTGAATAGTAGTTTTACACCTAAGAGCTCATTTGTAACTTTGTCTGAACTAGGGACTGGTGCAGATCTGGCTCTTCTGAAACTGTTGAACTGTTAGTTAGATGGAGACTGGAGCTTTAAGTCTGTAGTTACTTGCTTGTAGCTCACTAGTTGGGCAGATGTCTTTTACCCTGCTAGTGTAGTGGTTTTGTTATGCAGTGAAGGTCATTGCTTTTACTTGGAGGCAGAGGCATGAAGTCACGTATTCCTGAGTTAAGGAAAGGGCTTCTTACAAGTCACTTCCATCCTCTGTAGAGCTCTTTATTTCCAATAGCAACACCAATACTATGCATTTAAAACCCTCTAGAGTTGAATTTAGCAGTCATCACACTGTATATTGGCTTTATATGTTACTATAGCAATTAACAGAGATCACAGACAAAATTCACCTCACTCTTGAGACTGCATCTGCAGGAGGAAGCTGCCACAATCAACTTTTGCCTTTGCATGGCTGCTATAGAGTTATTTCCTTTGTGCATTTTCAAATGAAAGTTTAACCCAAGCAATTAAGTGTTAAATGTTGGGGATGAACCAGAGGTTAAAACCCACCCTGATCAACCCTTTTCCCTAAAAAACCCAAGAAGAAATCCAAATTGGGAAGTACTGAGTAACCATTGATAAATAACAGCCTGCAGGAGCAGCGAGCTCCTTTCTGCTTTTGCTTATTGGCCTGGTAACTTCCTGCATGATGATGGAGCGAGGCCAGAGGAGGCCCCGGAGCTGCTGTGAGGGCTGGAGCAGCTCTGCTCTGGAGCCAGGCTGAGAAAGCTGGGCTGGGGCAACTGGAGAAGAGAAGGCTCCTGAAGGGGACACCTTAGAGCAGCTCCAGGGCCTAAAGGGGCTCCAGGAGACCTGGAGAGGGGCTTTGGACAAAGGATGTAGGGACAGGCCAAGGGGAATGGCTTGAACCTGCCAGAGGGGAGATTGAGATGAGCTCTGAGGCAGAAGCTCTTCCCTGGGAGGGTGCTGAGGCGCTGGCACAGGGTGCCCAGAGAAGCTGTGGCTGGCCCATCCCTGGCCGTGTTCAAGGCCAGGTTGGACACAGGGGCTTGGAGCAACCTGCTCTAGTGGAAGGGGTCCCTGCCCGGGGCAGGGGGTGGAACTCGATGATCCCGAGGTCTCTTCCAACCCAAGCTGTGTTACTACTATGAAATTCCCCCACTCCTGCAGGGCTGTTATTTAAATAATCAATGATTCCTTAACACAAAATTCTTCTGTTCAAGACTTAATCTCTGTGATGCCTGAAATAACTTAGGGAACTGGAGCTGCTGGGGTCTAATAGAGCCATGATTGTATTGCAGCCCTACCTTTCTTTAAAAAGATCCCACACTTGTTCCCCCCTGACCTCTTTGGACTAATCAATTCTTGTACCTTTCAGCCTTACTGTAAAACTCTGTTCTCTGAGAGCAAATGGAACATTTGCTGCTTCATCTTCATCTCTTCTGTATAGCCAAGGCTTAGTTTTGTCAGGTGTAGAGAATAGGGGGCATTACTTTGGTGTCTAATCCCACTGCTGCACTTCAGTTTGCAGAGGAGGCACAGAGCTTGAGTCCATTATCCCAGGAAACACGTATAATGTCTTATGCTCCATGAAATGAATGTCCTCAGATAGAAAGGATGGAGCTTTGGTTAATTAAGGGTAGTTCATATGGAATATTCTTGCCTGGTTTCTTTAACTCTTTGTGCAATCCATGTTCAGTCACTTTGACAGGAGAGGGGGTTTTGTCACCTTTGCTGCTGTTTCAGGCTGTGCTTGCTGTTGTTAATCCTGTTGTAGATGAGAGGTGGCACTTTGCAAACGACATCCTCTTTGTCCCCTCTTGCAGGCTGCAATCATTAACAGGATTCAGTGCAGGATTGTGGCTTTAGATCTCCGAGGCCATGGTAAGTAAAGAAATGAATTTAAAATCACAACAAGCATTTTACACGCTCATATTTTAAAGAAGGTGTAGCAAATCCCTCCTAGAAGGACTAAAAAAGCATCCTTAAGGCATCCCTCCGTGTATTCCAAAGCAGGGATGGAAAAGGGAGCTCTGCAGCCACCCATCCACACGGGCCAGAACCTGAGACTCCCTGTGCCTTCGTGCAAGGCAGTGGTGGACTTGTTCCTTCTCGCATACTGCCACCAGGCCCTTCCTTCATGTTTCACAACCCATAGCTGGTCTTTACCAGTAGAAATAAGCTCTGCTCTTTAGTTTTAAGATACTTTGCAAGTATGGAACATTATGGGGAGTGTTTCATATGATAAAGTACCAACTGTTCCTATTAATTCTGGGGTTCTTCATTATTCATGTTAACTGCAGTAGCCTCGCTCTTAATAACTGTGCCAAAAAGCTTTGTGCAGTTGCTGCTCTGAATCCTGAGGGGTTCTGAAGGTTTTCAGCTTGTGTGGACTTAACTTTTGTTTGTTCTTCCAGGAGAAACCAAAGTGAGGAATCCTGAAGATCTGTCTGCAGAGACTATGTCAAAGTAAGGACACTGATGCTCTATCTTTAGTATTTCTCTGTTCACAAACCTTTATCTAGTGAGGAATAAACTACTTGAGAACACATGACCTTCATTCAGGGAGCTGGAAGGTCATTTCATTTCACAAGTGTGGTAGTTATCCCTTCTCCATCCATTTTGGGACAGTTTGAAATCTATTTGGAATTATATCTCTTCCAGCTGAGTCAAACTCCCAACCCTAGAGTCATTCTCTAGGGTTTAAACTCACTTTGAAGATCAGTGGCTTCACTGCAGTGACCACTTTAAACCTACAACATGCTATAGCACAATAGAAGGAACACTTTAAACCTACAACATGCTATAACACCAATAGAAGGGGAATTCTTTCCTTAGACATAACCAATTGGGGGATTTTAGCTGGTTCTTCTTGGCTTCTTGAGCACATCCACCTTGGACTGGTGTCACCCCCAGAGTGGGGGCACAGACTGAGACTTCCAAGCATGGAGGGAGTTGCTCTTTCAAACTGCCATGACCTGCTTTGGGATGCAAATCCCCCTCTTGACAAAGCTGTAAGAAAAGCAAATCCCCACTCTCAGCACATTGTTATGTCCATAGTTAGTACAAAGAGACTCTTTGCTATGAAACAATTAAATCATGAAGGATTTTGTAACCTTCCTATGAACAAATCCACTTGGTTTGTTGTGGGGAGACCATGTGTGAAATGGATTCTGACTTCCATTGTGTACCTTATTGCTACTGTTTGTGGCTTTCAGATGCTGATGTGGTGTTATCCTGAGGAAACACTGTATGGAATGATGGGAATTTTTTAGATCTGGAGCAGCATTACCATGGAGGGGGAACAAGTTCCTTTTGGTTTTAAACCTTTCTCTCCTTTTAGAAATGAGCTTAAGAGTTATTCCTGAATAGACTTTAAATAGGAGCCTTAAATTATAGCTGGGTTTTATTTTTCTTATCAAAACCTCAAGGAATTTTCTCTCACAGAGCAAACAAACTGGTCATCCTTGGTTTTTTGACTTGTTTCCCATTTTCCAGTTGCAATACTGCTCAGGTCTCCTGTTCCACTGAGTAGCTTTAGGCAGGAAAGCAAACTTAGGTGTCTTGAACTACAGTGCTCTTCAGTAAATGTCAGTCATTGGCTCTGCTCTTGTTTTGGGCTTTGTGAATCACACCAGTCAGCTTTAACACATTGCAGTGACAGCTTCATGTTCTAGTAGGTGCCTTATGAAAAGGATGAGGAATTGCCCCTTGCCTTGTGGTATCTGTGCTCGTGGAGTCTGAATCCTTGTGCTCTTTGCCATGGTCAGCAGGGCTTGGTTCTTTTCTTCTTTCAGAGCAGTGAATTTCTTAGTCTGTGCTTCCATGCAAGAGCATTTGATGACTTTTTCTCAGCTGCTCTAGTGGAAGGGAAACCTTCCACTAGAGCAGGTTGCTCCAAGCCCCTGTGTCCAACCTGCCCTTGAACACGGCCAGGGATGGGGCAGCCACAGCTTCTCTGGGCACCCTGTGCCAGCGCCTCAGCACCCTCACAGGGAAGAGCTTCTGCCTTAGATCCAACCTGAACTTCCCCTGTTCCAGTTTGAACCCATCACCCCTTGTCCTATCACTCCAGTCCCTGATGAAGGTCCCTCTCCAGCATCCTTGTAGTCCCCTTCAGACACTGAAGCTGCTCTGAGGTCTCCAGCAGCTTCTCTTCTCCAGGCTCAACAGCCCCAATGTTCTCAGCCTGGCTCCACACGGGAGCTGCTCCAGCCCCTGAGCATCCTGGTGGCCTCCTCTGGACTTGCTCCAACAGCTCCATGTCCTTCTGATGCTGAGGACACCAGAACTGCACCAGTGCTGCAAGTGGGGTCTCAGCAGAGCAGAGGGGCAGGATCCCCTCCTTCACCTGCTGCTCACGCTGCTGGGGATGCAGCCCAGCACATGGCAGGGTTCTGGGACCAAGTCCTTTTCCTCAGGGCTGATCTGAGTCACTTCTCTGCCCATTCTGTAGCTGTACCTGGGATTGCCCCGACCCAGGGGCAGGACCTTGCACTTTCTTTTATCAAAAAGCATTGAAATGAGCATTTTCTTTTAATAAAACCAGAACTGATGTGCCTGTTCAGGACAGTGTTGGCTTGAATGGTTTCCTGCATTGGTACCTAGATTAAATTGTAGAATCAAGGTATGGTTGGGGTTGGAAGGGACCTTAAAGATCATCTAGTGATGAGAGAATAAGCTTGTCTCAATTACATGCGGGTTAAAGAGCACACAGACAGGATTTAGAGCTGGAAACCTGTCTTGGATCCATACTGTCTCCTCCCATCGTACAAGTCTGCTTCAGGAGCACCTCAAGGTAGAGATGCCAATTAATCTGTGGTCTCTGTTTGGCAGAGACGTTGGCAACGTGGTGGAAGCTCTGTATGGGGACCTCCCGCCCCCCATCATGCTGATCGGGCACAGCATGGGGGGGGCCATCGCAGTGCACACGGCGGTCGCAAACCTGGTGCCGAGTTTACTGGGGCTCTGCATGATCGATGTGGTGGAAGGTGAGCGAGTGTCCCCTTGGGTGGGCTTCTGTCCCCTTGCATGGGGTGCTATCCCTTCGGGTTGGGTTCTGCCCCTTTGGTGGGGTCCTGCTTTCCACATGGATCTTTTATCCCCAAATCCAGAAAGTTTTGCCCAGTTTTAACCTAATGCTGATTCCATCCTACACAAAAGTGTTTCTAGTGTCACCTCTCCTTTTGCTTTTCCCAGATGGACTCTGCTGTTTTCCCTGTAATTTCTTTGCAGTGCTTTCTTGTTACTGGGGAGGAGGGTGGCTTTTTATATGATGCCTGGTGCTGATGAGAGGTTGCTGCCTTCTTTTGCTGTCTGAATGTCCTACCTGTTCAAATATTGGTTTCCTAAAGTGGGAACAAGTATGGCTTTGGGCTGTACCAAAGTACCAAGCAGTACTTTGCTTTCCAAGCTCTATAAATCCCCAGTGAGCTCCATCTCACTCTCAGGGTGTTCCCTGGGAGCCAGCTCTCTATAGAGGGATGTAGCAATAATTTCATCAGATGCCATAAAGTTGTAATACTTGTATTTAGGTACAGCCATGGATGCACTGAACAGCATGCAGAACTTCTTAAGGAGTCGTCCCAAAACATTCAAGTCACTGGAGAATGCCATTGAGTGGAGGTAACACATGAGCTTATGTTGTCTCTAAAATCATCAAATTCCAGACTGGTTTGGGTTGAAGGGACCTTAAAGCTCCTCCAGTCCCAACCCCTGCCACAGGCAGGGACACCTTCCACTAGAGCAGGTTGCTCCAAGCCCCTGTGTCCAACCTGGCCTTGAACACTGCCAGGGATGGGGCAGCCACAGCTTCTCTGGGCACCCTGTGCCAGCGCCTCAGCACCCTCACAGGGAAGAGCTTCTGCCTCAGAGCTCATCTCAATCTCCCCTCTGGCAGGTTCAAGCCATTCCCCTTGGCCTGTCCCTCCATCCCTTGTCCAAAGCCCCTCTCCAGGTCTCCTGGAGCCCCTTTAGGCCCTGGAGCTGCTCTAAGGTGTCCCCTTCAGGAGCCTTCTCTTCTCCAGCTGCCCCAGCCCAGCTCTCTCAGCCTGGCTCCAGAGCAGAGCTGCTCCAGCCCTCGCAGCAGCTCCGGGGCCTCCTCTGGCCTCGCTCCAGCAGCTCCACGTCCCTCTTGTGCTGTTCCCCAGAGCTGGATCAGGGCTGCAGGGGGGTCTCCCCAGAGCACAGCAGAGGGGCAGAATTTGTCTCTTTTCTCCATTTGCACTCACTTTTCCAATTACTGTCACCAATTCCTTGGCTGATTTGATGGGGAGAGAGGTCTCAAAGATCATTAATTTCCCAGGAGCATTGGCCGTGCGTTGGAGCGGGATCCTTTCAGAGTTTAAACTCATGGAAAGTCTCATGATATGAATTGCAGCTTCCTTGTAAGTGTCCCAGCTCTTACAGAAGCAGCTTGAGACACCCATCCCACATGTAAGAAAGAGGATTCAGCAAGAATTACTTTTACATTTGGCGGCTGAGTTTGAAAGGGAGAGGTTTTGTGGTTACCTTTGTAGGCTGGCCTAGAGCAAGCCCGCTTCTGTTCCCAAATACCCACATAGTTTCTCATCTCTCCCTGTCCCCTGCAATGAAATGGATACAACCCTGTTTCAGTGTTACCCCACCAGTGCTTTTAAATCCACAGTTACAGTGTCAACAGGACCTTCAAGTAGGTCAGTGTGCAGCATGAACCACTCCAAGTGTCTGCTGAGAATGGGATGTCTGGGGAAGTAATGAGCTGTCAAAGGGTTTTACTCTTGTTCTCAGCCTCAGAGTTCCTGATTATTTCTACCCTTCTTCTGATTCTAGTTTTATTTCTTCTCCTAGTGTAAAAAGTGGACAAATAAGAAACCTTGAATCTGCCAGAGTGTCTATGGTCGGTCAAGTCAAACAGTAGGTGGTTTTTGGGTTTGGTTTGCTTTTTCAAGCTCTTAAAATCATCTTATCGGGTTTATAACACCATGAATGTACTTGAAAGGGAAGATTTCTTCTAGCAAATACAGATTTCTTACCATTTGATCAGTTGATGCCAACAACAGCACTGAATTGTTATCATGGCACTTGGAGAAAACCTGGCTAAATTTCGCTGGAGCAAAATCCACCAAGAGCCATGTTTCAAATAGATTCATCACTGCTGGTTGGGTATTCCTTGGGTTGTCTGGTTTTCTGAACACATTAAGAAGTGTTGCCTGATGCCTCTTCAGAAACCATGTCCTAAACCAAATTGGTCCTCTGGGTGTGGAATCTTTTGCTTCCTTTTAGTAATGCTTTGATTGTCTGTTGCATTTGGGGAGTGATCTGGAATGGGTGTGGGGAGGTCAGAGTAACCTGCTTGTGCCACTCTAATCCTTGATGTCCCCAAAGCCTTACAAGTACCTCATACTCCATGAAGCTGTTGATAGTTTGACCTCTTTCTGCCTCTGTTTGCACTGACATTTGCTCTGGGACACGCATGCTGCACAGGCACTTGCTCCCATGGCTGCTCATGACTGTATCTTCCATCCAAAGCTACTTTTCAGCTTGAAAGGACTTTTTCAGCCACTATCTGAGAAACTGCTGAACACTTCAGGTTAAAACCTGTTCTATTTGGCAGGGAATCACTTGCTGGTTTTTTTTCCCAGGTGTGAAGGGGCTGCCAGTCCTGAATGTCCTAAAGCCATAGTGGAGGGTATTATTGAAGAAGAGGAGGAGGAGGAAGAGAATGAGGAAGGGGGAGTCTCTGTCAACAAAAGGAAGAAAGAAGATGACACAGAGGTAGGAAATTTCTTACTGTGTTTTCATCTTGTGTTTGCACAATGCTCCCATGAAGAGCAGCCACCAGTAGTTATCCAAATCATCCCAGTGTAAAAGGGAGCAACTCCAGGCACCAAAAACTTGATACTGGGACTGTTGTTTTCCTTCTTCATGTCATACCACCTCTTCTAACTTGGGCTGTTACCCGAAAGCCTGGGTTTGGTTTCCTTTCCTGAGCTGCTCACAGATTTAATGTGTATCACCTGAAATAAGGCTTCTGGCCTGAACGAAGAATGTTCTTTTCTGAGTCTTTGTGCTATTTTTGTTCACTTCCAAGGCACAGGAGCATTCAGGAGCTCATCCAGATGATTGCAACCCAGGAATGTAAATTCCTCGAGGAAAATCACTGCAGCCAGCTTAGCCCCGTGTATTTGTGTCACCTGAGAGCCAAGTCTGAATGTTCAGATCATTTGCAAGCTATTTGTGCCAGTAAAACCAAGCAAATTGAGCACCCTGAATACTGCAGCCTTCTCTTGAGCTGTAGGTGTAGCTCCTGCTGACTTTCTTGTTCCCTACCCATGTACTTCGGCTGCGATTTGGGGAGCAATTCAGGAGCAAGGAGGCTCATCCCTTTGGAATCACGTCCACCAGGGGGAGCCAGTTATTTCCTATATGTATTTCCAAGTGGCCCTCAGGTTCGTTTTCTTTCAGCTGTTTTACTGATGCCTAATGCAGAGCTCTCTGCTTTTCCTCCCTGCAGACAAAGAAGGAGCACTTATACACGTGGCGAATCGAACTGGCGAAAACAGAGAAGTACTGGGATGGCTGGTTCAGGGGATTGTCAAACCTCTTCCTGAGCTGCCCAACTCCAAAGCTTTTGCTTTTAGCTGGTACGTGGCTATTCCAGTCCTGTTCAGCTTCAGTGGCTGTTGACTTCAGTGATGTCCTGCTTGGATTTCAGGGAATAGGGTTTGGCTAATGCCTTTCTCCAAGAACACCAAACCTGCCTCTTCCACTTCGGCTTTTCTATGTATCTTGAACTATAAAACCATCCATTTAACCCATGCCAACCTGGAATTGGTTCAGAACCTCTAATATCAAAGCAGCACATAATGACATACTGTGTATTGCTGCTGTTGGAGGAGTGGGTTTGTTCTATGATGTGGAAGAGGGGCAGACAGGACAGATCCAAGCTGTCCTTCAGCCTCCACTACTACAATACTTGGGTGTGGTTTGAACTTAACTGAAAGTCAAGTTCCTGATGTTCTGCAGCCAGGTGTAGGCCCCTTTCTGTGCCTCAATAGGAAATACAGTGTGTAAGCAAGACAAATATCCTTTTAAGTTGTAGGGAGGGATGTATTCTTGCGTTTTTGGCTGGGATTGTTTCCTGCTACTTTACTCTCTTGAGGTGCAGCAATGAAATGTCCTTGTGGCAGGTGTCGGGGATGTTTCTTTTGTCAGATCTCTCTTATCAAACTAAGGAGTAAAGCCCTGCTCAGACAGTCATGTTCTCTCTGGCTTTTCTCCAGTACTTCTCTTTATTTAATTGTAGGTGTTGACAGACTGGATAAAGATCTAACAATTGGACAGATGCAAGGTAAATATTTGATACTGTTACTCTATCCTTATGGTAATGCTCTTTTTGGATGGTAGCTTGTTGCCATGGGTACCCACAGGAGGAAGAGCTGGAGTGGCCTCTTACCAGATGCAGTCTGTATCAAAACAAATGTGCATTAATTCTTCCATCCCAAAGTGTCTGTGCATGTAGGGACAGAAGTCAAGAAGGGAAAGGTTGCAGTAGGATTGTGAAGGGCTGTGCCATGGTTCTTGTTGAGTCTAGTGTTCAGCTTCAGCCGTGGAGCTGCCACACTTCTCTTGAATCAGAATGGTCAGAAGGGCTTCTTTCTAATCTGGTTTTTCCCCTTCTAACTACATTCCCAATGTTCCTACCTAGAACACGTGGGACCATCCAAAAGTAACTGGTCTCCAGGTGCTTCTGGCAGACATCAGACCAAGATTCAACATCTATATTAATGTTTAGGATTTGTTTTTTCCCCCCATCCCTGGCAGTGTTTAAGGGACACAGAGGCTTGGAGCAACCTGCTCTAGTGGAAGGTGTCCCTGCCCGTGGCAGGGGTTGGAACTGGGTGATCTATAAGGTCCCTTCAACCCAAACCATTCTATGAATTAAACAGCTGATTCTTGCTTTGGAAACTGTTGTGTGTACAATACAGTTTGCTCTGGACTTCTGGGCCTTCCCTGCTCCCTCTTCACCACATTATACAGTGAGATTTAATGAGGTTTGTTTGTGAAGAATCTTTTGTAGAAGAGTTCCTAAATTCACAGTGCTGTATAAGGGTGTAGTGTCTGATGTTTCCTCTGTACACACAAACTCCCTGTCTAAACCATTGCAATTAGAAATCAAGATAATTTAAAAAGCAGCTCCAGTGATGACTCTCTTGATCCACAGGGAAGTTTCAGATGCAAGTCCTCCCACAGTGTGGCCATGCAGTCCATGAAGATGCTCCAGACAAGGTGAGCTCCACTGTGGGGTTGAAGCTAGATAAGTCATAGTCTTCACAGATTAAATGCAAGTGGGATCTGTTACTTTCTTTGATGCAGAGACTATACTTTAGGAATTGGTACAGGAAACTGGCCATTTGCAGCTGGCTATTGGAGTGTGCTGAGGCGCTGGCACAGGGTGCCCAGAGAAGCTGTGGCTGCCCCATCCCTGGCAGTGTTCAAGGGCAGGTTGGACACAGGGGCTTGGAGCAACCTGCTCTAGTGGAAGGTGTCCCTGCCCGGGGCAGGGGTTGGAGCTGGAG